TTTCGTGTGTGGGGATTAAACATTTCCGGATTGGACCGAGACTTGCCAAGCGGCCTTGGTTTACTACCGGTAGACCGCCTGTCAAGTCTCGTATCATTTGGACTTCGTTTGATACTCCAACGGTTAACCGAAGGACCGAAAAGGCCTCGTGTGTGTTGCAGCCCAACACCCATCCAATTTGGCCCAAAACCCACCAAAACCCTCTCCATCATCTAGAGCATTCGATCATGATCGCGTGGCCGAAAACCGCACCTCATTTGGACTGTCCTAGCTTCCTCTATGCCTATATATACCTCCCCCATTCCAAATACGGATCTCTCCTCTTCGAAACCCTAGAATCCCAGATCCGCGCGCCGGACATGTCCGTTTCTCGCCGGACACGCCGCGCCGCCGCCCCGAGCCAGTGAACGAGCGCCACATGGCACGCCGGCCACCTCCCGTGCCGCGGCCCGCCGAGCCCAGGGCAGGCCCCCGAGGCCCGGTCACCGCCGCCAATCGCCCGAGGGGCGCCGTCCTCGTTACGTCGCCCGTCTCCTCTCGCCGGCGCCGCCCCGCCGCCGTCCAGCTAGCTCCACACCGGCGCCGACCCCGCCGCCGCTCGCGTTGCTCACCGGTCGTCTGCGCCATCGTCGCCTCGCCGCCACCGCGGCCGGAACCGCCGCAGGGGACGCCGCCCCGCCGTCCAGCCTCCCCTCGTCTCCGGCAACTCCCTCGCCGGACCACCTCGACTCCGGCCGGCCCCTCCTCTCTGGCGAGTTCATCGTCATCTACAGTGTTCGACCGCCTCGGGAAGCGTGCAGGTCTGGATCTCGTCCGGTTGACTTTCTCCTGAAACCCTAGTTCATGTGCCCATCTTCATCATGCTATAACTTTGCATCCATAACTCCGATTTGGGCATATAGCATATCAAAATGTTTGCCTCAGAGAGTACATAATTTCATTCCATTGCATCATTTTCATCTGAGTTCATCTTGATGCCCGAAATACTGTTAGAAGAGTGCTACTTGAGATAATTGTCAGATCTGCTACTCCATTTAGATATTTGTCATTTTTGCCATGATTATTGTGTGCATGATATGCCCATGAGCTCTACATATGTTTTGTTAAGGATTTTGCCATCTTTCCAGAGGTGCAGCCCATGTATTTTTGTGATGTGTGTGGTGACTAGCACAAGCTTGCAAACTGAGGCACTTGGTAATGCTGATTTCAGGGACTTAGCATTTCCACTAAGTCCTTGACCTGTTTATCTCATGTTGCCATATGTTCATGTTGTTTCCTAGTGATCCGTGCCTCTTTTGAGGATGATCAGTAAGTATGTTTTGCTAATCTTGTAGTGTTCTATCCATCCATGTCTTTCTTTGCAATTATGGAGCACCCTACCTTGAGTCAATCGAGCTCTCCTTTTGCTACTTCGTGAATCTGGGCAGATTGTCTACTTGGTAGCGATTTTGCCGATGATGTTATAGTTGATCCGTGCATGCTATGTTATTGTTCTTGCCATGTCTAGCTTGCATTTTGTGTATTCTTGATGGATGTGTACTTAGATTTTCATGAATTGCTCCGTAGTGAGTGCATCGAGTTCGTAAACATGCCTACTTGATATCTGTTTCAGCATGTGCCAGTTTTCACTAAGTTTGAAAACTGATTATGCTTTTGCTATGTTCACATGCTTGCAATAGTGTTTTCTGATCCCTTTTGGCTCAAGGTCACTAAGGGACTTTTGTTCACATACTTTGCCATGTTGAGGTCCTGTAGCATGTAGTTTTGTTGCTCCGAAGAGTGCTACCTGATCTGAAATTCCAAACAAGTGTTAATTTCACTAAGTCTGAAATCTGTTTACCATATGCATTTTTGCCATGCTTGTTTGTACCTGTTAATGGATGAATTGGCCGTAGCTCAGTGCTAGACTTTTGTTAAGCATCTTGAATGCATCCCTTCCATGTATTTTGTTGTCATGTTTGAGTGCTGTAGCATGTTCATCTCATTGTATTTAGATGGCTACTTGCTGTAAATCGCAGATCGTGGTCATATTTGAATCGCTTGCCATTTCCAAACCGTAACTCCGATTCCGGTGATCTTTATATCGTTTTCAAGCAATTTCATCTCATCTTTCTAGTGGCATACTTGGTATTCCAAGTTGGGGCCAGGTTCATGCATCCCTTGTCAAATCTTGCATATGCATCCCGCATCGCATCCCGCATAGCATACCATCCTTGCATCATATTGTTTGAGCTTTGCACGTGGTTGATTGTGTTCTGTTTGCTTGTTTGTCTTGTTTGGGTAGAGCCGGGAGACGAGTTCGCTAACGAGGAGCCCGTTGAGTTTGCTTTCGAGGATCCAGTCAACTCTGACAACTTTGCAGGCAAGATGATCATACCCTCGAAATCACTACTATCTTTGCTTTGCTAGATGATCGCTCTTTTGCAATGCCAATGCTACGATGCCTACCATTTGCTTTCAAGCCTCCCAATTTGCCATGTCAAACCTCTAACCCACCATGTCCTAGCAAACCGTTGTTTGGCTATGTTACCGCTTTGCTCAGCCCCTCTTATAGCGTTGTTAGTTGCAGGTGAAGATTGGAGACCGTTCCTTGTTGGAACATTTATTTACTTGTTGGGATATCATTATATTGCCATGTTATCTTAATGCATCTATATACTTGGTAAAGGGTGGAAGGCTCGGCCTCCCGTCTAGTGTTTTGTTCCACTCTTGCCGCCCTAGTTTCCGTCATATCGGTGTTATGTTCCCGGATTTTGCGTTCCTTACGCGGTTGGGTTATAATGGGAACCCCTTGATAGTTCGCCTTGATTAAAGCTTTTCCAGCAATGCCCAACCTTGGTTTTACCATTTGCCACCTAGCCTCTTTTTCCCTTAGGTTTCCGGAGCCCGAGGGTCATCTTATTTTAGCCCCCCCGGGCCAGTGCTCCTCTGAGTGTTGGTCCAACCGAGCGATGTCCGGGGCTACCAGGGGCAACTCTGGGCTGGCCTACCCGACGTCTTTCTCATCCGGTGTGCCCTGAGAACGAGATATGTGCAGCTCCTATCGGGATTTGTCGACACATTCGGGCGGTGTTGCTGGATTAGTTTTAACCTGTCGAAGTGTCTTGAAGAACCGAGGTACCGAGTCTGGTCGGAACGTCTCGGGAGGAGGTCTATTCCTTCGTTGACTGGGCTAAGTTGGGACTCCCCTGCAGGGATTTGAACTTTCGAAAGCCTTGCCCGCGGTTATGGGCAGATGGGAATTTGTTAATGTCCGGTTGTAGATAACTTGAACCTTAATTTAATTAAATTGAATCAACTGAGTGTGTTACCGTGATGGCCTCTTTTCGGTGGAGTCCGGAAAGTGGACACGGTGTTGGAGTAATGCTTGCGCAGGTTGTTCTCTAGTTTCTCGCTCGCGCTTTGCCTCCTCTTCTCGCTCTCTTTTGTGAATAGGTTAGTCACCATATATGCTAGTCGCTTGCTGCAGCTCCACTTATATTTACCTTGCCACACCTATTAAGCTTAAATAGTCTTGATCGAGAGGGTGCGAGATTGCTGAGTCCCCTTTGGCTCACAGATTACTATTACACCAGATGCAGGGCCTGATGATTCCGCTCCAGGGGGACGCGCTCGAGCTCAAGTGAGAGTTCAACGAGGACTCTCAACGATACTATGTTTCCTTTCCTGATGATCAGTAGTGGTGCCCAGTTCGGGGTGATCGGGACCGTGTCACATATTGGGTTGTCTTTTATTTTGGCGCCGTAGTCGGGCCATGAGTGTTTGGATGATGTAATGTTATTTATGTACCTTGATTGACGTGGCGAGTGTAAGCCAACTATGTTATCTCCCCTTTTATTAATTATATTACATGGGATGTTTGTGAAGATTGCCTAACTTGCGACATATGCCTTCAATGCGATTATGCCTCTAAGTCGTGCCTCGACATGTGGGAGATATAGTCGCATCGAGGGTGTTACAGTTGGCCTGAAACAGGAGCCACGACTCCTGTTCGCGGAGCGAACGGCGGGCGAAGCCGTTGGTCGCCGCCTCGTCGCCGGGGTAACGCTCGGCCATCGGGAGGGGAGAGGGAGGGCTCGGCGGCGTACGTGCTGGAGAGGGAGAGGGAGGCTCGGCGGCGGCGCACGGGAGAGAGAGAGAGAGCTTGGCGTTTGGGGCTGGTGTGGCCAGGCGAGGGAGGCCGCCGGCTTATATAGCCGCGCCGTGCACGTGTGTGCGCGTGCGAGGGAGGGGAGGCGTCGGCGCGCCACCCCATGACGCGCCGTCCGTGAGGAATCAATGGCAAGGCTGACCGGCGGCAACCTTGCCATTGATTCCCCGCGGGAAACCAAGGCGTCGGGCGAAGACGAGGGCGGTGTCGCTGACGCGGCTGGCCCGCAGCCCTTTCCCGCCAAAACCTCTCGCCCCGGCATCCCCGGGCGCCCCTCAGTGCGCCGGGTTCTGCCTGGGTCCGCCGGCTGATTTTGGCCAAGGCCGGCGAAAATCAGGCTCCTGGTGACGCGGCTTGGCCGTTTTTTGGCACCGGCATGAAAAAATCGTCTGAAGAGGTCTTCCCTTCCTGAGACGCGGCTGAAGATGCTTTTAGCGCGTGGCGTGTCCGGGGCTGTTGGAGATGCTCTAAAACAGTTTCATTTTTCGCAGTGCGTGACCCGGCCTAGAATGACGCCTCGAGCGCCATCATTCTGTCGAGCAGTACCAACGCACACGTGACGCGACGCACGCAACACGCACAGCACTGTGCTACACACTTCGCAAAGAGAAAAAAGCTCCCTTCCTTCCATGGTAGACTTTGCGAGCTGGCGTACGCAGCCGCGAGAATCCAACCCACCTACACACTCACACTCCCACGCCATTAATAAACTCGACAGTGAATCCTCACTCGTCAGATAACTCGCAAGAAAATCGCGGAAAATTCCCCCGCATCATCGTCACCTTCCTCCCGTGCCCCGCTTCACTCCTCGGCCATCTTCTCCCACCTCACTCCACTCCAGCCCACGAGGATGGGGAGAGGCTCCCCTCCCGCTCCCGCCCCGCGCCTCGCGCCCGGGCTGCCGGCCCTGCTCGCCGCCGCGCTGCTGCTGCTGCTGCTGCCCGCCCCGGCCGCCGGGGTCAACGTGACGGCCGTGCTCGCGGCGTTCCCCGGCTTCTCCGACTTCGCGCGGCTGCTCGCGTCCTCCCCGGTGGCCGCGGAGCTGGCGGGGCGGTCGTCGCTCACGCTGCTGGCCGTGCCCAACGCCAACCTGCCGCGCTCGCCCTCCGCCTTCGCCGCGGCCGCCGGCGCCGACCTCGCCGACGTGCTGCGCTACCACGTCCTCCTCGAGTACCTCTCCCCGCCCGACCTCGCCCGCGTCCCCGCCTCGGGCAGGCTCGTCACCACGCTCTTCCAGACCACCGGCCGCGCGCCCTCCGACCTCGGCGCCGTCAACCTCACGGCCACTGCCGCGGGCGGCGGCAGCAGCAGCTCCGCCGTCGTCGTCCGCTCGCCGTCCCCGTCCCCGGGGTCGAACGCCACCGTCCTCGGCGCCGTGACCAGGGAGCCGTACAACCTCAGCGTGCTGGCCGTGGGCGGCCTCATCGTGCCCTCCGGCTTCGACATCGCCGCGTCGGGCTCCGAGACCCGCCCGTCCCCGGCGGTGAACATCACCCGCGTCCTCACCGACGCGCGCGGCTTCAACGTGGCCGCCTCCATGCTCGAGGCCTCGGGCGTGGCGGACGACTTCGAGGCCGACGAGCGCGGCGCCGGCATCACCATCTTCGTCCCAACCGACGACGCCTTCGCGGCCCTCCCCGCCACCGACCGCCTCCAGTCCCTCCCCGCCGACCGCAAGGCCGTGGTGCTGCGCTTCCACGTGCTGCACTCCTACTACCCGCTGGGGTCCCTGGAGTCCATCGTGAACCCCGTCCAGCCCACGCTCGCCACCGAGTGCACCGAGGCCGGCCGCTTCACGCTCAACATCACGCGCTTCAACGGCTCCGTCGCCATCGACACCGGCGTCGTGCAGGCGTCCATCACCCGCACGGTGTTCGACCAGAATCCCGTGGCGGTCTTCGCCGTCTCCAAGGTCCTGCTGCCCAAGGAAATGTTCAGCCGCGGGAACACCATTAACCCCGGAGCTGCGACCCCTCCCGCCACCATGACCCCAGACGTCTCCGATGGCCCGCGGACGCCGCCGACGAAGCTGTCGTCCCCGCCGGCCCTGCGCGGCCAGGACAGCAAGCCATCATCAGCACCAGCAAGAAACGCGAACTGGTGGTGTATAGGAATAGGATTGGTCTGCCTGCTCCTACCTCTGCTATGAGATCCAGGTGGTGCCTTGCATTCTCAATTTTTCCCTCTTCTTCCACCATTTCCTCTCTCGTCTGATCGAAACCGAATGTGTACACCTCCGGTCGCCATTGGATTGGGGAGAGGGTTCCGTAGAGGCCATTGTAGCAGCACTAGTAGCCATTATTTCTCGTTTCTTCACCTGATTAGGGAAATGATAATAATAATAATAATAATACCATGTGTAGAAATCTATGCATTCCCTGTGTTCAGTTCCGTTGATCTTTGCGGTTCCATTTTCCAAATGGGGTAGAGAATTAGCATGGCAGATCGGTGTCATGTTTACCTGCTTACCCGGGGCTAGAAGGTGGGTTCCTTCCCTGGGTACGAGGGGATAGAAAGAGACAGGTGAGTGGGAATGGGCTGGCCAGCTGAGCTGAGCTGCGAACGCGGTCTGGCCGTCAACCGCGCATTAGATTCTGCTGCTGACATTGCCCTACTCTACTCTGCTCTACTCATGGCGCACGCTGTAAATACGATCGAATGAACCCTACCACATGTCAGTGCGCGCCGATCTTGACCATGGTGCAGTGCAGGAACCAAAGTCTGACAGTGTGTTTTTTGGGCACTTTAAGGTTCAGACGCCAAAAACGGACTGATTGTGTGATCATATGTATAGTGTATTCTGATAGTAAGAAACTAAAATCTGATGCTTCAAGTTACTGATCATATGACTTACTGTTTGTGCGAGTTTGTGACTCCGCACTGCTAGCATTATGTGCCTAGCAGCGCTCGTTTGGAGTACATCCTTCCTTGCCACTACTGTATGAACACTTGACAACACACATGTACTCCCTCCGAGATTCCATATTACTCGTCGCAGAAATGGATGTATCTAGATGTATTTTAGTTCTAGAACAGAGGGAATACTAGTGAGAGACCCCTGGTAGTGGTAGCTGTAGTCCTGTCCGGCTGTTCCTAATATTCAGTCAGAGCGATCATGTTCAGAATGATCTTACTTGCTTGTAGTTTTGCTATAATTTGCGAGCGGGGTGGGTCCAACGAAGATGGGCCTATTCCACCATGTGGCAGCTACCGTTGAGCCATGGAATGGAACTGATAATTCATCCGGTTTCAAAGGGAATCTGCAATTATTTCTTGAATTTTATCCATGCAAGGATAAACTTACCCATTGTTTCCAAAGTTGCACCCTTGTGATATTTTGTGAGAGTTTCAAGTCTGTTAAGGAAAATCCACCAAGAAAAAAACATTTGGACTTTCACCCAACTCCTTTGGCCAGTTTGATATTCAATAAGTGGGCATTATCTCTACCACAGTAAAACAGAGAAGAAGAAAAAAGATGCTCAGATCTGGGACGTACTGTTCAGATTGACGAAGCATTTACCATATGAACTGGGTGGTTTCGTGTCAGGGAAAAGAAATGAAGTGTAGCGCTGTGTGGACTGTTGTTGAGCGTCCAGATCTCTCTCCTGGTCGAGAAAGAGTCAAGGTCTTGGGCTGATGATGATGATGGTAGGTGTGCTGGAGAAGTGACAAATCGATGTTTCAGTTAATTGTTGTGGGGTTGGCCGTGGCCCATCTACAGCCTGCAATAAAACGAGAAGGCCCACGAAAAGTACCGCCTCATGCATTTGCATCTACTGTATGTCTTTCTTGCACACCCTGAGGCTGAGGTCTTCCTCATGATGTACTGTAGATTGTACAGCGCTGTTAACTCCGCCATTGCACTATTCATCTGCCTCCTACGTGTACTTGCCCAGAGCGAACTAATGGTGATACGTACAGCTTACATTTATGCGATTGTTGAAATTCACCAACGTCCTAGTTGAAATTCATCTATGCCGAATAGGTTAAGGAGGTTAATGTTTCCGAACTTTGTTGGTGAGGAATTTGATTTTGATTTTCTCAGGCTCCTTGTCTGAATTTTTGCCTCTTTTCTGTAAGCTCAGTTTAACCGCTTTGGTGTAGTTTTAACTACTTGAGTTGAGTACTGCAAGTGTGCAACAATGGGGTATGTGATATCCATTTTTGTTGTTCCATGTGCTATGGTGCTGCCACATAAAATGGGCACAATGGAAATCTGGCATATGCTCTCCAAGAGAAGAACTGCACACATGTGATGTATCTGCATGTACTTTGCATAGTTACTACAAGTGGTTGTAGAATTTTATAATTTGTCGAAAAATGTAAAAACAGATTAAATCAGCGTTTTCAGTGATATATGCCGCATTTTCTTGTTCTTTTTGCGAGTGGCGCAGAATTACGGAGCAGTTGACATCACATTAGTGTAGGAAATAATCTGTTTGTCAGTGGACTGGAGTCCAAGGAAAATTAGACATGCTTCTGTATTCTTAGCCATAATAGTTTTCCAGGATTGTTTACTGTGGCTTTTTAAGGATTTGAAATATGTGAAAGGATATAACTTAGACACACCACATGCTAGTAATAATTAGATGGATTAAAAAGTCATGAAGAAAATTCAGATGATCCAAACTGGTAGGGCACATTTGGTGTCAGTGCTCAGTGGAGACTCTTGACTGATACAGCAGTGGAAGTTATTTTGTGGTCACTCGGTAGCATGTGCATATTATTGTACTGCGTTTCTTTTTATGATTATATACTTGGGAAATCAAATAGAATCGTCTTGGGGTAGCTGCAACAAGATCTGTAGTACTACATGACATAAAATGTTTCATGTTCTTCGTCAGGGAAACCAAATACTCCGTCCGATCCAAATTAAATGTCGCAGCTTTAGTACAATTATGAAGGAATAACATTTTTCGTTTTGTGAGGGCAGCGGAATGCAAGAACTTTTACCAGCTGATTCCGGTGATTTTTCTTATCCCTTGGGCTGTGTGTTTGATGGCCACAAAATCCACTTGTCGACTGCTTTCTGAAGAAAGTAAATGGTTTATGGGGTGCCACTTCACCACATGTTTCTGAACCCATGCAGCACATTCTTTTCACCTCTTTTGCAACGATGGATGTCCAGTCATTTCGTTCTATTATCTTTCCTACTTTGCTGTATGTATGTTGCTTTCTTTCGGGGATTCACGCCTATGCCCTGGCCTTTTGGACTACTTTGGGATGTGTGTGCTTAATTTTCATTATAATTTTTATGTTTAACTGTCGGAAACTTGTACTTACATAACATAAAGTAGGCATTGCCAAAGTATTTTGATTTGTATGCAGCCACGTATTTTGAACACTGAAATTTGGCAGCTTGTTGGCAGAGCCAAAAAGTGAAAAAAGGTACTACCAAACAGTTGGTAATGCTGAACATTTGCTTTGCATATTGATCTTTGCCGTGCTATGCATTTTCTTGGGCAGCAGGTTCATTTGGCGCTCTCCTTTACCAGTACTAGCAAGTGTAGCAACTATTGCTGTAGCTGTATGGAAAGAGTAGGTTGAAATCCATTCGAGTCATGGCCGTAAACCATGTGATGTGCTGATGACTACCATTGGCATGAGAAAAGAAGAAGGCTTTTACGCGTGTCTGCACTGAAACTGAAAGCGTCAAAAGCTAGGCTTTGATGAAGAAATTTTACACCGGGGGTTTCTACAGAGAAACTGGCGTGGAACACGAATCTGTGTTCTGTGATCTTCCTCTGCTGGGGTAAGCCTTGCCTGATTTTCCTCTGCTAGAACTGGAAGGAAGCACATAATTCGCAGTACATATTCAGTGAACTTCTGAGAATCTTTGGTTCCACCCACCTATCTTCTACGGTAAATTATAATCAGATGTACGTAGTAGATTGCATGACGTGCTTGGAACCTGTTCATTTGTCAAGTTGAGAACTTTGCGTCCTGGGTTCAGAAGTTCTTGTTCCGCGTTCATTCATGTACTATCAAATTCAGACAACAGGAACACAGTTCAGAGGGATACGCTTTGAACGCAGTTCAGACGTTGCTCGAGGAACGGGGTCAAGAGAATGTACAAGTACGACACGAGAGATGAAGAAAATTAGCTAAGCATTCAGCAACGTCAGCAAACCACTGACCTCGCACACGCTCTTCTTCTTCTTCTTCTTCAGATTCAGATCACACGCTGACACCGACATACAGTACAGGGGGGGAGAAGACGGCGCTCATCCCTCTCCTGAAGCCCCGATCACTGGCTGAGCAGCAGCATCGCCTCCGGCTGCCGCCGCTGCCCGAAGCCGTGGAACGGGTGGCGGTGGTGCAGCTCCTCCACCGCCTCCTCGCACATGCTCCTCGGGTCTGGCCGGGACACCAGGTTCTCCTTGTCCTCGCCTTCGCCGTCCCCCTCCTTCCACGGCCGGTCCTCGTACCGGGAGTGGCTGCGCCCGTACACCTGCGGCGCCGCGCGCGAGCCGCCGCCGGTGCTGCTGAGGTTGAAGCTGCCGAAGCCCTTGATCTCGCGCGCCACCTTGCGCGCCCGCTCCCGCTCCTCCTCCAGGAACGGGCCCCGCTCCAGCAGCTTCAGCACCCGCTCCGACTTGCCCTTCACCGTCAGGCCCCAGTTGAAACTGCGCCGAGAATCCCAGAAGAACATCAGAAAATTTTCACCCTAACGAACTGAATAAGAATGAATTACGTGTGTAGGAATAGGAGAAGATCGAGATCGAACCCTCGCTCGTCGATGTGCTGGAAGGCGGCCATCTGCTGGATGACGCCCCGGTCCTTCTGGAACTCCAGGGCCACGCTGCGGGGGCCGTGCGTCAGGAGGTGCTCCAGCAGCAGCAGCGCCTTGTACGGCTCCCGCCACTGCCTCCGGTCGAACGTCGCCAGCCTGAGGATCAACCCATCGATGTGTCCCGAGTTAGACGACGGGCAGAGGAGAAGAGGAGAGCGTCGATCCGGTGCGGCGAAGGAGAGGGAGAAGGAGAAGGTCACCTGGTGTGGAGGATGTCGGAGATCCTGAGGTACTCGTCGATCTCGAACGCCTCCCGCGCGATGAGGCTCATCGTCTTGGCGTTCGGCGGCGACGCGTCCCCGTTCGTCGCCTCCTCCGTCATCCTGCATGGGCGGCCACTCTCTCTGTTAGGACCTTGGCAGAGCAACGGTGCACCAAGAAACGGAGAGCAGGAACGGATTGTCGATCGGCGAGGGGTCACGTACAGCTGCGTCGGGGTGACGTCGGTGAGCGCGAGCCGCGCGGAGCGGATCTTGCCGGTGAGGTAGGAGGAGGCCTGCCGCCGGAGCTCGTGGAAGAAGGGCGCGTCCATGGCCGCTTCACGCACGCACGCACGAAATTCCCCTTACCCTCGAACCTCCCGACCGCGCTCGTTGCCGCCGACGAGGATCGGACTGGTGCAGGGTGGATAGATATAACAAGGCGACGCGCAGTGGTGTCACGTCACTCCCGCGACTATCCTGCGCTGCGCGCCCGCGCGTGGGTGCGTCCGCCCGCCCCCCAGCGCCGGCCGGCAACGGCGATGGGCACAAAACCAGCGGCCAACCACTCCACCCCGCACAAGGGCGCAAGCCAACAAGCGGCACGGGGCCGGGCGAGCCGTTGGGCGAGGGCGCAACCACTCCTCTTCCGAGCGCCAGTGACGGGCGCACGCACGGAGCAAAAATGGATTTGTGAGAGCGCTGGACGGGACGAGCTTATTTGGAGGGGGAGGGGAGAGCGATGCGCTCCATGC